AATGCTTGAGGCAGGAGTTTGGGACCAGCCTGGATAACATAACCAGACGCTGTCTCTACAAAAAAAAAAAAAATTAGCTGGGTATGGTTGTGCATCCCTGCAGTCTCAGCTACCTGGGAGGCTGGGGCAGGAGGATCACTTGTGCCCACGATTTTGAGGCTGCAGTGAGCTATGATGGTGCCATTGCACTCCAGCCTGGGCAACAAAGATCCTATCTCTAAAAAAACAAAACAGAGAGGGGAGGGGAGGTGAGGGGAGGGAAGGCGAGGGGAAGGGAGGGGAGGCAAGAGGAGAGGAAGATCAATTTTTGAAATTTTCCATAAAGTTTTATGTAAAAAATTCCTCTTTTAATCCTCTATTAACCCTATATATCCAGGTAGAAAACGATTTCTATTCCTTTGACATTAATTCTAATTGCTCAAAGAGCAGCCTATAGAATACCATTTATATTAATTTAATTTTCCCTTGATATTGTATCAAGAGAAAAATGAACCAAATATTAATACTTATGGATTATGTCAGTAATTAAGGCTATTACATAAACCTATAACAAACATTCTCTATACTATCTTTTCCCAATCACTAATCTTTTGAACAATTTAAAACTGAAAATGAAACTTACGCTAACTAGTCCCAAACTATGTTAAAAAAGCTGAACATGCAATTGTTTCTTTAAGGAAAAAAGGAATTAAAAATAACAAATTTAAGTAAAGCAGGGATTACAAACTCTAATGCATTCATGGGCCAAACAGGTAATGCAAGTCTCAAACATAAGGAAGGGGTGGAGTGGCAGAAACTAGAGGTCACATGTTCTGTCTAGAAACATGTGAATTTTTCTTTCTGAAACACTGAACCTGCCAAACAACAAAGTTATGTGGGACAAATTTTAACCTATGGTTTGCCTCCATGCAACTTGTGATTTCACCTTCATTTTCAAGAAGCAGTCCATAATATCTACATACTCCATGCATGACATTTTAGACACAGACACCTTCTTGTTAAGAGTAAGTCAGCTAGCTGAGTAGGTGGTAGATGGGTAAACAGTAAAGCTTCTTATCTCCTCCCTCTTTGAGCCTGAAATCTAAAATTCCAACAGTGAGAGCCAGTAATCACAAGAAGAAGAATCTTGTAGGTTCCAGTACACATGGGGTATATGGCCTATTCAGGTAGTATGATCTGAGGTACCTAGAATGTGAATAAAATTTTTCAAAGAAAATAATGCAAAAAAAGTCAATAGGAAAAAACTTTTTTGACTTTTGAAAAATTAAAAGCACTTATTTATCTTGAATGGGATATTGGTTAGAGGTGCATATGTTTGTCAAAAATCATTTTGTACATTTCAGCTCATGTCAACGTGTATAAATTTTACCTTAATTTTAAAATGCAATCCTAAGTGCATTTTAATTAAGCCCAGAATACTACACATAAAAAGGCAAAATAAGAGAATGAAGGATATGAAAATAAAAAAAATTTATCTTGTAAAACATGAAGATATCAATAATTTCTTTCTGAATCTAAATTTTTAATAAGCACTTTTAGAAAGCATGGTCTATTAAAAAAGAACATATTATATATCTGTATTAATTCATTCGAGATATATTTGAGGGCCTAGTTAAGACATAACAGTGACACATTGTCCCCATCCTCATAAAGTTCAATCCAGTGGGAAAACCATACACTAAACAGTTATTAATGATTGTGATAAATGCTGCAAAGGAGTAGTACACTATGTATAGTGAGAACAACTGCAGTTGGTGGGGAGTACATGGGTCAGGGAAATCTTACAAGAAATATAAGCTAAGACTTAAAGGGTAAGTAAGTAGGGAGCAAGTCACATGAGGAAAGAAAACATTGTAAAAACATTTCTAGACAGAAGACACATGTGAGGATTCCAAGATGAGAGGTAAGGATTTCAGCAGGGCAGTAACATGATCAAAATAACAACTCTGGGAGCAATACGGAAAAGAGAATAGAGAAGAACGCACTGAATGTCATAAGACTACTTATATTGAATACTCCCAAGAGAAATGAAGGTGGCTGGATGTTGGGTAACAGAGATGAAAGCAGAGAGAAATCGCAGACTCTATCAACAGATGATATAGGGAGAAAGGGAAAAGGAACTGCTAAGAATAATTCCCAAGTTTCTGGCATGAACAACTGGAATGATAGTGATTATGAGCTCATTTGACATGCCAAATTACCCAGACAACGAAGGGAGCCATCAACTAGACAAATGAATATACATAAGAGACAATCTCAGAGAATGAGGCTAGGGACATAATCTGAGAATCATCTGCACAGACGAACATGAAGCTAAATGAAGTGAGAGAGTGTACCATAAGAAGAAAGTCTAGGGCTAAGTCCCAAGAATGTCTCTATTTAAGGGGGAATAGTGGGAGTGATGGTAATGGTGGTGGTGGTAGAGGAGAGGGAGGAGCTGAGAAGAAACAGAAGGTAGGAGGCATATAAAGAGAGCACTTTGTCACAGCAGTCAAGGACATAAAACATGTTAGAAGAAGAAGAGTGGTCAACTGTGCCAAATGCTGCTGAAAATCAAGAAGAATGAGGATTAGCAGTGATCTCTGCATTCAGAGTTGCCCAGATAGCATGGCGATCCTGATACAGGGAAAACTGATCAGAATAGCTGAGGTAGAAGCTTAACTGGAACACATTCAAAGTCAATGAAAAATGAGAAACGGGAGATAGCAAGTGTCAACATTCCTTATGAGACATTTAGCTGTGAATGACAGATGAGAAACCCTGGGGGAGAGTGCAGGGGTCCAGCAGAAAATTGAACAGAATGTTATTCTGAGGATGTGAGTGGCCTCAACACGTCTAACGCTGATGAGTAAGATCTAGTAAAAAAAAAA